AGCAGAGGGGGGTGGCCCCCCCGGGCCTCGAACCCGGGACCTCCTGCACACAGAGAAGGCGCTCTGAGGGTCCTCCTGGCAGCCCTGATCTTGCAGGACCTGCCAAAGCGGAAGGGGGCTCTTTGGGGGCTCTGCTCCTTTGGTGCAGGGGGCACGTCCTGCTCTGGCCTAGACGAGGGTGGCGCGGCTGCGTGGCCGTCCCGTCTTTTTGGGCCAGGTTCCTCGGGTTTTTTTCTGAGGGAAACGCTGCTTTTCCTCCCGTGATGAGGGACCTTAAGGAAAAGCCTCCTCTCGGTGGCCTGTCAAGTGCGTGTTTGTGTGTGTTTGTGTGTGTGTGTGTTCCTTTGGCCAGGAAGACAGAGAGAAGCCCTGGGCCGCTTCTCCTGGGCTGTCTGAAAGCGGCTGCCCCCCTCCCTCCCTCCCTCCCTCCCTGCCCCCCCCCTCAGGTGCCACAGGTCAGGGACGGGGCACCCTGGACGGTGTCTCTCTCTCTCGCTCGCTTGGAGTCAAGGCGCGATGGCCCCGTTTCCCAAGGGCCGGCGGCTGGTTGAAGGTCAGCACTAATTCCGGCCGTCTTTCCATGACACACTTCCATGTGTCACGTCTCCCGTCAGGGGTTTGCGGAGTTCGCTTGCTCAGCAAAAGTTCGGGGAAATTGGCCTCCTTGAGGGAAGGGAGCCCGGAGGGAGTGACGTTGTGCCCGCCTCAGCAACTCCTGGTTCAAAGGCCTTCTTCCTTCTTCTCTTCTCACCCCCGCGCCCCCCCTCCTGCGCCCAAGCCAGGGGAGACCCACTCTCTGCCTGGCTGCGAGTTCGAAGGAGGAGGAGCCTCCGCCTCGGCCGCGCTCTTGACTCAGGCCCATATTTATAGCTCCTGGAGGGCAGCCAGCCGGAGAGCCCGGGCGGGCGACGTGAGCCGGTTGTTTGTCTTTTGCCCAACAGGACGGAGCTGCGGCGGCTGCGGCCGCCCGCCCGTTGCTCTCTGGCGCAGCGGCCAGATCCAGTTTGGGCTTGTTAAATCTGGAATCTGCGAACGAGATGAATCAGGAGGTGCTTTCATGCAAAACAACAGGGAGGCGCTGGGAAAGAAGGAAGCCGTGAAAGGGTGGCGGTGTGTGTGTGTGTGTGAGGGGGGGGGAAGACAGCTGTGTGTGTGTTTGTGTGTGCGCTCTCTAATCAGCTTCCAGGCCCCTTTGCCTGCCCCCAACCCCCCCGTCCCCACCCCACCCCATCCTTTGCAGCTCCTCCGACAGGAGAGCTCCGTCTTGGGGTCCAGCGCTGCCTGGCTTCCCCCAGCCCCATCCGACGGAGCCCCCCTCTTCTCTCCTCTCGGCTGGCCTGGCCTTCCTTCAGGGGGGGGTCCCCCTCTGGGCAGCCCACCCTCCCTGGTGCCAGCCCACTTGGGAGGCCGCCACCACCTTGTCAAGGAGCCGGAGCCCGGAGGGATTTTCATGAAAGCCCCGCTGCTCAAGTGCCCGGTGGACTGGCCATTCTCGTCTCCCCGACCGGCAGCCCCTGGTGGTGGTCCAAGCGCTGCCTCAGTTTCCCCAGCGCCTGGACCCGCCACCTGCAGGCCTCCGCTTAGGGGTCAGGCCTCCTTTGAGCTCTTCCTGGTCACGAGGGGAACCAAAGGGTGGGTGGTAGGAAGCACCAAGGAACTGGGCTGGGGTGATGGGTTTGGGCGGCCCTTCGTCTTCCCTGGGATGCAAGAGTTGTGCGACACGCCCGAGCTGGTCGTCCGTCTGATTCTCAGTCGGAACAGAGCCGGCCCCGATCCCCAAGGCCTTGAGAGGCGAGGGCGACCCGCAGACTCTTGATGATCCCCCTCTGGTCTCCCCTGCCTTCCAGTGGGCCTCTACACCTCCATCTTCGGGGTCCTGCAGCTGCTTTGCCTGCTGACTGCTCCCGTGATCGGCTACATCATGGACTGGAAGCTGAAGGAGTGTGACGACGATGACGGCAGCGGTGGCTCCGAAGAGGCGGGGGATGCCGGCCAGTACGTAGCTGCTCCTCTGGACCCCTGGCCGCGTGCCCTGGGGGCGCATAACGCTCCGCCCCCCCCTCCCGGGGTGGGTGGGGGAGGAAACCCCCAGGCAAGGCTGCCCCCCTGCCTGTGATGCCAGGGGCGGGAAATGCGCATCCCCTCCAGGCGTGACCGAACCCAGCTGGCCAACTTCATGGCTGGGCCGGGCGTCCCTGCGGCTCTCTTTGCCTCCTGAGCTTCGTGGTTCTGTGGGAACTTGAACTCAGGTCACCCATGATGCCCTAGTTCTACAAAGTTTCAGAGGCGTGTGAGGCGGGATAGAAAACACGCTTGCCAGGCAAGTGGGCGCAGGTGCCGCTTTGGCTGGCAGGGAGGAGGAGGAGGAGGAGGAGGAGGTGCAAACCGGGTTACTGGGTCGAGGTTCCCTTCTCACGCCTCCGGAGATTCCACTGACCTAGATAGATCTGGGGCGGAGGTGGAGGCGGGACAAGGGGGTCCTTTGAAGGGTGCTCCCTCCGCCCCTTCCCCCCCCAGAAGCTGAAGGGCCTTCCGGGCACGGGACGCGAAGGGCCACGACCCACGGAGGCCCCCTCCCTCTTCTTCCGCAGGGGCAGCAAGAAGCTGAAACCGAAGCCGCGCCGGGACCGACAGATCCAGAAGGTCTCCAACGCCACCCGGGCCTTCGCTTTCACCAACCTGCTGCTGGTGGGCTTCGGGGTGACCTGCCTGGTCCCCAACCTGCCTTTACAAGTGAGTGCCTGGACTCCCCTTCCCCCCCCGGTCTGCTCCGAGGTCCCCTGGGTGAGGCTAGGGAGCCTCGGTCTGGGTGCTGCTGCTGCCAGGGTGGGTGAGCCCGGTCGTGGTGGCGTGGTCTCTGGCCAGTGGGGGAGGGGAGCATCAGTGGGACACCCGCC